CCTGCTCGGTTTAAACTCCTACCCATCTCCATGACAACTTTATGCCAGTAAACCCTGGCATAAAGCAGGCGGCTACAAACCACCATCTCTGTTGCTGGTCAGCAGACCTCACGGGAATTCACTGCTAAGAATAAGATGAGGATGTCATTGCCTCTAAGGATTTGAGCATCTTTAGCACTCAGGTACCAGAGAGATGAACAGGGTAGTCAAGGCACGGATTAGTTTTTCCCATCCCACACACATCCTCTGAAGCAGGCTATGATCATGCATCTCTTGCCAAGATCCAACTTATTCTTCTGAGTGGTACTGGCCTCCTAGTTAAGCTGGTGGAGAGCCATACAAGCATGAGAGGGGATGTACACCATCAGTATCAAGCTCTCATCCTCACAGAGCCTTTGGAGGATGATGTCCTTGTAGGTGTTTGAGACTATGAAACCCTCAAGAAACCGCAGCTGGCAGCAACTCACCGCAGTCCACAAAAGAGGCACAAAGGGAACATCGCTCATATTACTGCAATACAATAGGACCTCAGACGTCAGGGTCGGTGCCCACAGCTCCGGTATGAAGACAGGCTGTATCTCTGTGTTTCTAACAAGCATCCATTCGTGTCTTTAAAAAGCCATTTACCCATTCACTAACGGCAAAAAAGAAAAGTGTTTATGTTTTCTAAACTAAGCTTAGGTATAGCCCTGCTGATGCTTTCAACTTTTCTAGGAGAAGGACTCTGCACATTTTGCTTATAAAATGCCTCCTTCTACGTCCTTTAACAATTTGGCACTGCTATAAAATAGAAATACAAGACTATGTCCATTTTTTAAATAAATGATGCAGGTCTAATTGGGTGTGCATATGTAATCTTTAGAGAATTAATGGTATGTGAATTAGACAGATGCTTGAATACATTCCTTAAGATTGCACATTTGGAAAGAGAAAAAACCACAAGACTTGGTTTTCTGTTTATTTGTTTTTACATAAATCGGCATCTGCCTTGTAGCCTGTTTTCTTTGACAGACTGCAGCAATGCGAACAGCAAGCCATCCTTTTCTGTGGCCTCTAAATTCATTCAGATTTCCTTTCAGAAAGGAAACGTGCTTCCTGCCACAGACTGCAATCGCAAATGTTACTGCTCCTAGCAAGAACAATGAGAAAGAGAAGTTACTAAAACATTAAACAAAGACTGGTTTTGATCACACCGTAAAACCCAGAGCACGAATACATATGTACGCACATGGTGCGGGGGAAGACAGAGCAGGCAGCCTGCTCCCTGCATGTCGGATGGTACTCTACAGATCATTAGTTATGCTTTGCAGGATTTGCAGAAATACTATCTCTAGGAGAAATATCCTCCACATTGCACATCATTATCTTTCAGTCCACAGGACAATAAAAAGAAAACAGATCTGGTCAATTAATTACTTTCTGCAATCAAGGGAACGGTGGATTCACATCCAGTGCTTTTATTGGAGGTTTGGAAATTAATAATAAAAAAATAAAAACAATTAGAGCCCCAGCTGCAGATAGTGAATACTTTCCAGTATGAATACGGTCCATTTTTGTTACGGGTACCAATGAAAAAAGCAGCCTGCTATGGATGGACGTGGTTGTGGAGGGCAGGGGGAGGGCGATTGCTATCTGTGTGCTGAAGGGACATTCGGAGCGAGTTGGTGACATCTGCTCACAGCCACATTCTGTAGGAGGCACAGGTCTGCTATCGATCACAAAGTCAATGAAACCCTATCAGTTACCAGCAACTCAGGGTGAGGCTCTTTCTTTTTAACCAGACAAAAAGCTAGATGCTACGCACAATTTCCGTTACGTATTGCAGTTATAAGGATCCAAATAGGTAGATTCAGAAGGAAAAAAAAAAAGCAGGTATTTAACAGAGTGATCTGTCATAGTGATATGACAGAAATGGTTCCTAGTATTCTGGGATGACCCACTTAGTGGCTGTTTCCTCCCATTCAGCTGGGTATATGCTATACATTAGGAGGGTGCAAGTTGATTCAAACATCATTCTTGTGGTTACAGCCTCCTAGGCTCCGCTAGGCTTAATTCCTAGATGAACAGGAAGAAAGAGTTAAAAGTATCTAAGACGTGGAAAAAGACCTCATCATTTCTGAGCATCACACAATCCTATTCCAACATACGGTCAGAACTCTGCCTTCCACACAGCTAGATCAAACCAGTAATTGAGGAAACGGGAAGGTCAACACCTTTCTGACCATATGGCTCCAAAGCATCTCAGAAACAACTGGCTATGCCTGCTGTCTCTGTTACAGAAAGCCTCTTGCAAAGCTCACCCGCACCAATCTTCCCCAGTTTTATTGGTTACTGCATCTGGCAAGTACTTGATGAAGCCCAGACAAAAGGATGGGACAGTCTACAGTGCAACTCCAGACTAAATAATCAGTTGCAGAAGGCACATTATTGGCTAGAAATCACAATGTTTTATGGGATCTGACCTTTAAGATTTGATCAGTTTTCAGAACACTACCCATTTCAGTGCCTAGACAAGAGCTGAAAGCACTATGAGATACAAGCTGCTCATTAGATATGGTGTGCTGAAATCAGGAGGACTTCTGCACGCTGAAAGTTTGAAAGATTGGATTTGCAGAGACAAGAATATGAGCATATTGCTCTTCCTCAGCCAAGAAAAGGGCAAAATATCATCCATTAGAGTAAGAGACAACATATACTGAAACTGAAAAGTGCAGCCTAAGGGTGAAAACAATTTACTAGAGAAAATACATTTTATTTTAGCCTTGCCTGAATCCATCAAAATTCATCCCTGCTTCTTCCCTGGTGACACTAAGAGCTGAGGGTAGCAGTAGCCCACTTCCAAACTATTCTAAGAAACTGAGCTCACAAGCCACGTTACCAGCGATTTCAACAACTACTCTTGTCACAAAAGACAGAAGCAACTCTTACTAAAACCCAGGATTACGTTAAGGTGTTTTTATTTACTAAGGTAATCAGGAAACAGCAGGAAAGTCTTGTATAAAAGGATGCCAATCCTTACCAAGCGTTCCCCTCCATGTAGCAGTAAACAGAACAAATACTATTCCAGATATACACCTGTTTGATCAAGGTTAAGTTTACAAAGTCATATAACTCATAGTATAAAGAATGTTTTTCATATATTTCAGAAGGAGTTCCTTCTGGCCAGTCTTTCTGGTTGTTCTCCAAGAAAGAAGGGAATATTTCCCATATAGGATTCTTAAGAAGCAACATTCCCACCTTGAATTAATCAGTCTGTGTTTTGCAACAGTAAAAAATTTCAGTGCAAGCAGCTAATTCTTATTAGTTCTTCTGCCGCTCAGAGCGCATGCTTTAATCATCACATTTTTATTTAGAATTAATGTGGGTTTAGCATTAGATATCCTCCCATCACAAAGTATTACTTTACATTTAGATCTATTAACTTTTCCCACAAAAGAAATACAAATATCCCTTGCATGTAATTTCATTTCAGGAGACTGACTTTTTATTTTTTTTTTTTTTTTTTTTGCTCCATTATGCAGCAAATGGCAAATGCACTTCAGTCCTAGAATGATA